GCTGCTGCTGCTGCTGCTGCTGCTGCAGGCGGATCGCCTGCTGGATGTCTGAAAGCAAATCCTCTTGCTCCGTAGCCGAGTGGAAGCTATAGATGTCCGTGTCCGAGCCCGAGCTGGTCCTCTGTCCATCTTGCGCCCCTGCTGCAGTTTCCACATCCTCGGCGACCGGCCGGCCCCTGACCCTAGCCTCGGCAGGCCCAGGACCCCCTGGACGGGTCACCTCAAAAGGGTCCGCACACTCGGTATCCGATAGGCCGGTCTCGTCCGCCGAGAGGCTGAGGTCCGGAGTCTTGGTGAGCAGGGAGTGAGCGCTGTCCAGCTCCCCCGTCTGCAGGGCCTGGGAATCCAGCACATCTTCGCGGGAGCCGCCGGCGCCTTTCCCCTTGGACAGATTCTTCCTGATCCGCAGGTTGGAAAACACCGAGGCTCTGGAGTCCGACTTGCTCTTCTTCTTGCCCGACTCTCCGCCGCCGCCCCCTCCCCCCTTGCCGTGCTTGCCCAGCGCCTTCTTACCCCCGCTCCCCTTCTTTGTGGTTTCCACATCCCTGGGCCCCAGCGCATCCTCGGTGCCGCCGCCGCCGCCGCCTTCATGCAAGGCATCACCTGCGCTCCTCTTCAGCTTCCCATCCTGGTTCCCCATGGTGCAATCCCGCTGCTGCGCCGCCGCGACGCGGGCACTCAGGCCATCCCGGCCCTCCTGGGCCCCGGGCCCGGGCCGAGGGAGTCTCCCGGGAGAGTCAGGCGGCGGCTGGGCGAGCCGCTGACACCCCACCGCCGCTGTCAGCGGCCACCCCGCGCTCCAGCAGGTGCGCGGAGCCTCCCGCCCGGGGCGTGCGGGTGCCCAGCTCCTCCGTCCAGTCTGCCGAGCGGCTCAGGCCGCCCGCAAGGCCGCCGTCGGCCCGGTGCTTCTTGGCCGGGGCGGCTACGGAGGCCAAGGCAGTTCTGGACCCTCGGCTCAAGGAGGGCTCCGGCCGCCTCTTGATCCTGGGGCTCTGATTAGGGGACTGAGACGGGGAGTGATTGGGCGAGCTGAGCTGCCGGGTGGTGGTCTTGATGTAGCAGGGGGTGATGAGCGGGTAGGGCTTGAAACAGCGCTGGCTGGGCGCAGGGCTGCCGGGCAGGGAAGCGGCCGCGGGGGAGTCAGGCCCTTGCGCTTCCTCCTCCGGCTCTTCCTCCAGCCTCTGCGGGGCGTCCTCTCCCACCTCCGGGGCCCACTCCTCCCCCGGAGAGCCCCGGGGCGCATCCTCAAAAGCATCCTCCTCGCCCTCCTCATCCGTGTCCCCAGCCCCTAGCACGGGGGCTCCGGCCGCTTCCTCCCCCGGCCCGGTCTCGGGAAACGGGAAAGCCGTGGAGGACGGCGAGTCTATGACCGCGGGTTGGGCCGCCGGGAGGCTGGG